TGCCCCGCTATTAGGTTGTTAGGGTCTACAAGGGCTCTATAACGGCTCTGCCAGGGTCTATGCGGCTTTGGCGCATGAGGGTTTGTAGGGTTTGGTGTTTCGAGTTTTACAGGCCCCTGTAAGGCTCGCTATATAGTAAATAGTGAGCCATACGGGGGTTTCCGAAACTTGGGGGTACCTTATTTTGGGGTCCTCATAATCAGGATCCTACTATTTAGGGTACCATATTAGGTTGCCCTATCTTCGGAAACTCCCATATAGTGAACCCCAAAAAGTTGGAAGATGAGTGTAGGTGCTGTCCAGCCCCGAAAACCTCAGCAGGACACTTGGGGCATGGTTCTCTGCATGGGAGTTTCCAAAAATAGGGGACCCCAATGTAGTACCCAAATATGGTACCCCCCTAATTTTCGGAAACTCCCGCATGTCTCGAGTGGTCCAGGTGCTCCCTCCTCCGCTCCCGGCACGAGGACTCGAGCCCGCAGCGGCCTCTGACAGAGCCGACGAAGGTTTCTTAAAGTAGTTGTTTGTGTAACCGTTAAATTAACCGTTTGGGGTTTCTATACATCCTACCATAGTAGCTGAGTTTGTAAACTTTAAGCTTTTTGTTGGGATAGTGAAACTCTCTTAAAACTGAAAGTTTGAACTCGGCGACTAAGCAGAAGCCGAACAAGGTTTCTTAGTAGTGGAGTGGGAAACCTTGAACATTTTGGGAGTTTCTATAGTCTTACCATAACTGAAAAGGTTAACCTTGGTTGGGCTAGGGTACTCAGCCACTGAGGTTCAGGACTTGCGGTCTAGGGGATGAGGGTTTAGCTAAGTTTAGGCTTTGGGGTTTACCTGGAGGCTCATACCCTACCCCCTTTTTTAAAAAAGTAGGCGTCCTAAAAGAACGGGTAGGGTATGGGTAGGGGATGAGGGTTTAGGGCTTAGGGGGTCGAATTAGGATTTGGGGTTTAGGGTCTCGCATGACTCTTCGTAGTTGGCCATTGGGCTCCCCCATCATCTGCTGGTTCAGAATATGTCTTTACGCTTCTTTGGGGTTTGAGGGTTTAGGAGTTTAGGGTTTTAGGGTTTAGTTTAGGCTTAGGGTTTAGGGTTATGGTTTAGGGGTTTTGGGGTTTTGGGTTTAGGGGTTTAGGGTTCAGGGTTACAGGGAACTCCAGAAAGTTGGAATATGGTTTCACGGTAGGATACCCTATAATTTACCATAGAAGGGTTAGTATAATCATATTCCAACGTTCTGGCTTTTGCCTTACAGTCGAGGGGTTAGGCTTCATGGGTTTGTGTCTCGCTGTTTTTGCGGCTTCGCAAGATTAAGTCTGTGGGCTTTTTCAAACCCTAAACGCCCTAAACCCTAAACCCCTAAACCCTAAACCCTAAACCCTAAACCCAAACCCTAAACCGTAAACCCAAACCCTAAACCCTAAACCCTAAACCCAAACCCTAAAGCCTAAACCCTAAACCCCCAAGACTCTCAACTCTAAGCCCGAGCTAAAGCTCAGATCCCGTCCTTTTCGCACTGTGCCTCCACAGAGGTCTGTACATTTCTTCAATACTAGTCCTTAGGTTCTTTACTATGGTTCATTACTTTACAGCATAATCTCCCCCACAGCCCAAAACACAAGTCCAGTTAATAGGGCCTATACTGGGTATGCACACTCCCCCCCGGCTAAAAGTTTGAATGGTTAACCGTTGAGAAAGCCAGGGAACATAGATACAGGCATGCATGCAGTCTGTGTTGGTTTTCGTGGCAGCTATGCCACTATGCTGCACAGGACTGCGCTCTTTTGCTTGCAGGGTCGGGGACTTAATAGGTAGGTATAGACAGGGTTTTATTGGGGTTATGATACTTATAATGCTGTATAGAGCTAAAAATAACTTACTCATTCTCCTGACCCTCCAAGCAGACGGCGGTGCTACGCCTGTAGCACACACGCAATCGAGCGGTCAGTCGGCGAGTGGCCAGGATGTGTCGGCGGGCGTTTAGGGTTTATAAAGGGTTCAGGGTTTATAAGGGATGTCTGATCAACTACAACATGCCGATGACGTCTCCCATGTTGCTGAAGTAGCTGCCACACCTGAACCCTAAACCCTAAGCCCTTAGCTGTTCTGAGGGCCGACAGCCGCCAGGCGTGACCTCGGGCTGCGCACGATGTGGGCATACATTTGCAAACGGGGAACGACTGCAACTTAGCAACTAGCTCAGTTGTGAAGCCAAAGGTTCGATCATATCTGGGAGTTTCCGAAAATTGGGGGTACCGTATTTTGGGGTCCTTATAACGAGGATCCTACTATTCAGGGTGCCACGTTAGGATCCGCTATTTTCGGAAACTCCCATATATAGCTAGCTGCGCTAAGCAATCATAACCGCTCTAATTGCGCCTGAGGTGGGTCCCCCTTCGATGGCTCGTCATGCGCCTGCACTGACGGCAGAGATCTCTATGAAGAAGCATGGCTCGGTCGGTGTTCAGGGGTGTCGGTGATTCATGTTACTGTTAGCTAATGATGAGATTTTTCTCGATCATACACATATATATATACACACATACAGATAGTTACAGCATAACCCCCCGCGACCCCTGGGCTACGCATATTGGAATCCGATTTAGGATTCAGCGTTCTCGTTTCAGTTCCGAGTTTTGGGAGCGTGGTTTTGATTCAGAATGTACTGCCATGCATGGAGTTCGCAAGTACAGCCTGAACCCCATAATATGGAGCCTAAATAATTACCTTTTCTATTTTGGGGGTGTTCCTTTTCACACGGACAGTAGAATACACTCCAAACCCAATTCTAAGCATTGGGGCCCCTGAATTACCCGAACCCCCCCGGCGAGCTACGCACTCTGATTTCCCAGAGACTCCAATACGCCTTAATTAAAGAAGATTCCTTAAGTCATATTAGGGATCCTATTATAATGTAAGGTACAGTCCTTAATTAATTAAGGGTTTTGGAGTCGATTAGGGATCCTTTTATAATGTAAGGTATATTCCTTAAATATAAGGGATTTTGGAGTCTCTGATTGTTGAGGAAGCCCCAACATCTGGCCGAGGCCCGTCTCTGCTTTTGCAGGGGATCCGAGCATTGAGGGTCAAGGGTTACTTGGACCCCAAGAAACCTACCTTTTCGGGCAGTTGATAGTTACAAAGAGAGGTTATTCGGGGTCAAGGGTTACGGGTTACATAAAACCTGCCTGTGTAGGGTTCCTTCTTGTGATTTCTTCATGTGAAAGGTAGGTTATTGGGGTTCGGGTAGGGTTTAGAGTTTAGGGTTTAGGTGATGTTGGAGGTCTTGAACAATGTTGCATCGGCTTAATGGTTTGGTAGGAGTTTGGTGGGATACTTGTTGGCGCTTTTAGGGTTTAGGGGCCAATGCTTTGAGAGCACAAAAGAGGTCCTGCTTGGTAGCTTTGGAGCCCGTGTATGCTTGCACCCCCGGAGGTGCCTATGTAGTATGGTCTTTGGGCCCAAAATTAAAATCCGTGCAATTCAGTCCTTGTAGCCTTAAGCCCTAAAGCCCTGAACCCGAGACCCCAAACCCTAAACCCTCAACCCTGAACCCGAAACCCGTATTGTTCCCGGCAGGTGCGCACCAAGCCCACATCCTTGACTCGGCGTGGTGCGCAGCCGCGGGCGCAGGGGCCATCCTCCGGAGGCGCAAATTAGAACCCTAAATCCGAAGGGTTCAGGGTTAAGTTAGGAAGGGGGTTTGGGGTTCTGGCTTAGGGTTTAGGAGGTTTAAAGGGTTAGGGCTTAGGGTTTAGGGGGTTTGGGGTTAGGGCTTAGGGTTAAGGGGGTTTACGGTTGCGGCTTAGGGTTCCGAGGCATACCGGCTTAAGGGGGCCCTCGCATTGGCCCTTGATAGCAGCTTTAAACTTGTTGGCCCAATATATTTGGTCGGTGATAGAAAGTTTGAAGCTTTTTTCTGGGGGATCAATAGCCCAAAAGCCTTATAGAGTATGGTCCTTGGGCGCAAAAGCCTTAATATATGAGTCCTTAGATCCCTAGGGTTCTCCTAGACTCTAAACCCTAAACCGGTTCAATAATTATAGTATCCTTAAGGGAGGGGGCTCCAAGGGGGGTATATAGCCTAGTGATCCCTAATCCTCCCTAGTACTCCCCAAGGTTCCCTTGCAGTCCCCTAAGGATTCCTTATACCCTCCCCCCTTGAACCACCCTCCCTTAAGGATCCTATAAACAGAGGGATGAGGAGTCGGACAGTCCGACGACAAGCTCGGAAGTAAACCGGGCCCCCAAGTGTCCAAAGGGCCCAATAATTAGGGTTTAGGGTTCCGTTAAAAGGGTCTACAAGGGGCTATAGGGGTTCTAGAATATAGGGGCCTAACATCTAGGTACTCGGTTTTAGGATAGGAGTTATGTAGGTTACTATGTTGGAGAGTATATGATAATTAGGTACTTGGACCCTTAGGGCAAGCTTTGCAGGCAGGCGGCTACGGCTGGGTGGAGCACCCAGCAGCATGCAGGGTTGTGGGGGTTTGCGGCTGGCACCTTCACTCGTATCATAGACACTTGTCTGTGTATGTATTGGGTTGCAATGATCTCCGTTTGTATGCGGCTTATGTGCTCGTCTTACCCAGAACTTGCACTAACATTCAGTGTTATCGCATGCTGACGGGCTCTTGTGTATGTCCGGTGCTGTCAAGTCTGAGCGAGCGATGCAGCTGTCGGCTCAAACGTATCCAACACCCTAAACCCTAAACCCTAAACCCCAGACCCTATTAGGTCTGAGGAGCTCAGGAGTCAAAGTTATGAGCTTTAGGACCTTTGAGTCTCGACGGCAAGTTGCTCGCCTCACCATCGTATTGGATAGCCGAGTTCTTTATCCCCCACTTTGCCAGGTCCTGCATAGAAAGTTCAGAACATCAGGTACCTCAAATCACGGGGTCCTTTACCAGTTAGAATAAACTCTGAACTTCTGAACCCCATTTTGTTGAAGAGCTTCATTTGGAGCTCGGCCGATCGCCGCTTCCTGTGGTGAAGCCATGAGGCAGTCACCCCTCAAGCTTGAAGCCCCAACACGGTTTAGGGTTTAGGGTTAGGGTCCGTAGCGTTTCTCATTGGCTGTTAGCTCAACTTTTCAACTTTTGGGGTTCTTATAACGAAGGCGATTCTGAAAGTTTCAACTTTTGTTTCCCTGGGTTTTGGGCCAGTGAGGTTTACGGCATGAGTGCGGTATGAGGGTTTAGGTTTTGAGGGTTAACGGTTTAGGGGTGTACTGTTTAACTCAGACCCCAAACTCCCCACCTTTAAACTTGTTGCGTTCTTATCGCCTAGTAGGAATCGCAAAGTTTAACCTTTTGTTTCTGTGGCTTGTTGGCGGAGTAAGTTAATAAGATGTAAAGTCACGCCTCCAGCTTGCGACTCCACATCGCTTTAGGCGGGTTTAGGGTTTTAGGGTTTAGGATTATGGGTTCAGGAAATAGGCTGACGTAGGCATTTTTTTGGGATGCGTTGTGGGGGTTGCCGAAGGAGATACCCCTCCGGGTCCATGTACCAAAATAGTATATACTTTCGCCTTAAAGTACCCAGAAACTCCAAAACCCCTTAAATGAGGAATACACCTTAAATTATAGTAGGACCCCTAGTATGATTTAAGGCATATTCCTTAATTTAGGGGTTTTGGAAGCTCTGGGTAGTCCCTGTACAGATACTTTAGGGTCCATGTATACTCATATGGATACATGGACTCTCAGGGTAGGAGACACAAGGCAAAAGACCGAGCAAAGTGTCCCCAACAAGAACTCCAAGGTTTTGGGGATCATGCTTCTGGGACCAGCCTCGACTTGCTATAAAACCTTCCTTTTTAATCAAAGGGGAAAAGGAGGGACCCTTAACAAGGACCCCTAGGCATATACCCATTATATAGCCCATTATGGGGTAGGGGTCCGCATTAAGGGTCCCTCCGTCCCTCCTTTTACCCTTGGATTTAAGGTTGCCGATTTTGATTTCTTATGTAAACCCCTACAAGGATACTTTATTTGGGGGTAAGGTAACCCAAAAACCACGAGGCTTTTGCTGGAAGGCTCTAAGGACGCATTGTCAAAGGCTCCACAATCTCAAGGGAACTCACGTCCCTCAACCCTCATCACCCCAACCCATGCCAGAAAGCCTTGGAGCCACCCTAATCCCAAAGTACTTCTAAGCTTCGTCTTCAAGGGCGTCTACGTCCTTAGTGCCTCTCATTAAGAGACCAGCCGCCACCCCAAATTTCACACGAAAACCGAAGCCCCGACCCGAGTTTCTAAGCTTAGGGTTTAGGGTTTAGGGTTTAGGGAACCCTTTCTAGAAACCTTTGTCGTAACCTAGCCTTTAAAGGAACCTTTAGACGAACCCTGATTTCTAAACTTAATAGGAACCCTTCAGGAGCCTTTCTAGTAACCCTTACAGGTAGAGGAACCCTGAAAGGAATTCGCAGGCTCTGCCGGGCCTGCGCGATCCTCACTGCGGCCCTCGTTGGGCTTTGGGCTCTGCGGCCGGCAATAATATCGGGGCCTTGATAATTACGTAAGGGTTCCTTTAAGGGTCCTGTTTTGAAGGGGTCTGAAAAGGATTACTACAAGGGCTATTATAGAGGTTTAATGTAGGGGCCTTAATAGTCACCTATACTATTTTTTGGGGGTTTCCTTACTATAACTAGAGTATAATGGCCCCCGAAACTCTATTCTGATTATTAAGACCCTTTCTTACCCTACTTGGAGGGTCGAGGGATCCAGTAAGCAGGTGATGACTAGAAATGTAAGTACCCCGAAAAGATCCTAGCCTAATCCTGGCTATAGTATTTATCAGTTTATAAAATGACTGCTTACTATGTTTCACGTTTTAAAGCGAAGTGAATGAAGAGTCCTCAGCCAGTGGAGCTGAAGAGTGAGGTCTGGGATCCGGATGGAAAGAAAAGGCAGACGGACGACGACGAGCAGGGCGTCGACGAGCCGAACCAGTGAGACATGATTTGAAATCACCACTGCTGAGTGCAGCCTGCAGGACTTTTCGGCTCGTCCATTAGCAGGAGTTAGCCGCGTCTCCCATCCTTGCTGTATACCTTCTTGGACTTCCCTGAAGTGTGCAACTCGGACACGAAGCTTGAGTGTGCGCAATTCAGGTCGAATCTTCTTCGGTTCCGGTAACTCGTCCAGGCGATGGCGGCGCTACCACCAATGATTATTTCCACGGCTACAGCTGGACAGCAAAACAATCTGCTGCCGCAGCTTCCCGCCATCGTCGCCGAGCTTCGACATAATCATATAAGTGTAAGAGGGCTTAGCCCGGGTCGTGCCGGTGTCACACCGTCGCTCCGACGACGTTCGTCTTGACACTGGCGCACAGCCGCCGTCAACCAGCTCCGAAGAAGCTATTGGACCCGGTTATCCAAGACGAGAGTAAATGTTCCTTCATTTGTGGCATTTAGGGTTAGGTGGTACCCTTACAGTATGGCTTTCTTTCATTTTGGTGTCTTGCTGCATTTTTTGTAATCAGTAGGAAAAGAATACCCCTACTAGGAAGGGGACATAGAGACTAGAATACAGCTTCAGCTTGAGTGAGGATTTAGGGTTCAGGGTTTATGGGTTCATAGGGTTGCATGCAACCGATGGTAAACTGCCTACTACGGTCTATTGGTGACTCCGGCCTACTATAACCAAACACACGAACCTTGAATTTGCCGAATCGCTTGAAATCCCTTGCCATGAGATGCGTTTAGAGACCCGAAGCAAGCATGCGCAATACCATATCTCGTGCGAAAGAACTGCTCAAATGGTAAAATAGGCGTCGAGAAATGAGTGTTATCATCTCTTACTAGTACTTGGAACGATGGCCGCTTGAATTGCAACGTTTTGTACAAAAAAGTAGGTGTCACCTAAGACCGAGATGTGTTGTGGGAACTTGGACCTTCTACCCTAAACCCTATTCTGATGTAGAATCTAGAAGGGATTCAGGGGACTATGGGTGTTCTGGGCGCCCTCTCCTTGTTTGTTCAGGGCTAGTGGGCCCCACCTGAGAAGACTTCCCGGCTCCGCAACCCTCAACCCTAAACCCCTAAACCCTAAACCCGTAAACCCTAAAGCCTAAACCGTCCAAGCTCTAACATGTAGGTGCTATGGGGCATGTCGGGGTAGGCTCTCTTAACTGGGATGCCCAGTAGTACCCTTATTCCCTTTTTGGAGTTCCAGGTTTCTTCTAAAGTTACCCAATACCAAAAAGGGAGGCCTTTTATTCCTAGGTTACCGGGCATCCTAGATTCGGGTTTAGGGACTTTCGGGTTAGAGGTTTCGAGGGCTTACTGGGTTTGAGGTTAAGTTCCCCCTTGCCTCCTAGAAAGGCAGTCCATCTACTCTAAACTCCAAATCCCGGACCTGAAGCCTCTAGACTTCAAGGATCTCCAAAACACCTATTGTGGGTGATACTGCTGGTGGACAAAATCCTGCATTACCCATAATGAGTATACAGTATACCATAGTTCCCATAGTTTAGGGTCCTTAGGGTCATGCAGGATTTCGTCCATCAACAGTAGGGCTGTTTGGGCTCAGGGTTTAAACTTAGGGCCCAGGGTTTAAAAGTTTAGGACTGGTTTGTTTCTGCTTCGGGTTTATGATTTACCTTAAACTCTGAACCTCAAACCCCCAAACCCAGGGCATCGGCAGCTGCAGCTTCGTGATCGGAAGGCTGCTGTCCAGCCCGTTTGAAACTTCAGGGTTTGGGGTTTTTAGGGTATACTGTAGGCTTTTGGGGTTTTGGGTCTTTTAGGGTTTATACTACCTGGTTTAGGGTCATTCAACTTTGGCTGGCTTGAGGTCTAGAGCTCGGGGATTTAGGCGTTACAAGGTTTTCTGTACGGGTCCCCAATGGTTCCATGACAGTGATCGTGTTTTCAAGGGCTTTGCAGGGTTACAGGGTATCAGCTTTTTGGAGCTGCCTTGGTATTTGATGGTCATACCTCCCCTTGTGCGAACCTAAAATGACTGCTATCCTAAGCCCAAGCCGTGTCTAGAATCACGGGGTAATTTTTTGAACCATAGAACCCAGATGGGTTTTGTGGTTGTTCCTGAGCCATGTGTGGTGTGTGCAGGTTCAAAGGCTTGGGATAAGGTTTAATGTTTGGTGCGTAGTTGTATGGGTTTGTGTCTAAGATCTGGGTGTTTAGGGTTTAGGGAGGCTGTATGGGTTTGTGTCTAAGCTCAGGGTGTTTGTTTACGGTTTGTTGTTGAACAGAGCCTAGCTATAGCGACGTGCAGGCAAGCCAGTCGTTGCCAAGCTTGTTCCTTAGGGTTCCGATTAAGTTGCAGCAACATTATGATGTGGAACAAAGCCCTATGCCAATCATTGATGCCGTTATACTCCTAAATCCAATGAAGTCCCGGAGAGCCCTAGATTCTAGAACCCCTGCCCCCCCTTTTATCGATCAAGGCCAGTTTTGCCAGCCCTCATCCTACGAGCACCACCCTTGCTAGGGGGGTCGCAGGACTTAGCAAGTAGCAATTTACCGGCTTACAACCCCAATTAAACTAGGATTCCGTTGAGCGTACATATAGGTGTTTACTTACCCTAAACCCTAAACCGTGACCTATACCTGGGGATCCAAAACCTACCGTTTTAAGGGTTCTATCCTCTAATGAAGGGGTCATAACCTACTATTTTGTAGGGTTTGGGTTCACAGGTAGCTGCATGCTAAGTCCTCCGACCCTCCTACTTACCCTAAACTAAACCCTAAACCCTAAATCGTGACCTATATCTGCATACTAAGTCCTCCGACCCTCCTACTTGCTACGTCTTCGGAAGCCTTCTTAGTAGCTGAGTGGATACGCTTTACACTTTTTGGGCTACCATTTACCCACTATAAAACTGAAAGTGTACACCTTTTGGGGCTTATGAACTCAGCAACCAAGCCTTCAGGGCGCCGTCGCCTGCGATTCGAAGAGCCCGGATCCTGCGACAGGCTGAGGCGACGGGATTGGGGCTTGTTTTAGGCTCTGGGGTTCAGGGTTTAGGGTTTAGGGGTTTAGGCTTTGGGGCTTTAGGCTTTGGGGTTCAGGGTCTGGGCTCTAGGGGTTTAGGCTTTGGGGTTTTAGGGTTTAGGGGTTTAGGGTTTAGGGGTTTAGGCTTTGGGGTTTTAGGGTTTAGGATGTAGGGTAGGGTGTAGGCTTGTTTTGGCTTTGGGGTTAGATAGGAAACAGGGGAACTTCAAACTTTTTGGCCTTATATACTAGCTCTACTTTCGAAAGTTTGAACTTTTGGGGCCCGGTTGTTGAAGAAGAGACTTAGGGTTTACAGTGGTTGTCTGATGATACCATCGCAGTCTCATGTTTCGCATAACATGCTGCTCTGTAGTGTCCCTAAACCCTAAACCTCAAGCCCTAAACCTTAAACCCTAAACCTTAAACCTTAACCTTAAAAGCTTGCGGATGGGAGGCGAACGCATCGAGCGGGCCAAGCCGGCGACAGCTGGTGAAGCCCGGGCCTTAGCATTCGCAGGGCCCAGTCCCTAAGACTCCATGCACCCATATAGTAGGTACTTAGGCCGTCCCTATATGGGTACTTCAGGGCAGAAGTACCTACTATATGGGTACATAGCGCTTTTGGGAACGTCATGGATTTAGGCGCGGGTTTTTTTTTGGGTTGAGGGTTTTGGGTTTTGGGATACGTGGGATATCGTTTCGTAGACTTCGCATTTTTTGTCTTGCGAAAATGGAAGGGGGGTTTCAGAACCTAAAGTAAGTACGCCATGTTAGGTTCTGGTATTTTGGTTCTTCTATGGTTTACAAGTGTTGTTTCCGGCTTTGCTAGGATGTTTGTCGGCATTGGCATACGGGTTCACCGCGTCGCCTTTGAAGCATTATAGATGTTCCGCACTCCGTCTTCAGCCTGGCGTTGGGTTCAGGAACGAGGTGATTGATGGCTTCGGAAAATGAGGGTTTAAGATTTTAGGGCCGCCGGTCTGTCTACAGAGTCTACAGCAAGAAAGGATAGCACTGCATTTCGTTCCTGGTTGGGGATTTGAAGTTAAGGTGCAGTGTGCCGTGTTTTGAAAGGCTTTGTGACTGCTACTCGTGCGTTTTGTACAGCTTTAGCCTCTCTATGCAAATCCTTGTGCATTCGCATATTTCAGGTTTCTGCATAGCTGATGAGCCTGCATGTAGAATACACCGCCTTTCTTTACATGCCTTCATATTGGGATGCCTGCAGTTTGTCTTTGTTTAGCGTGGGAGGGCATCATTAATCAGGGGATCACATTGCGTGGCATGGTCTTTGGGGCCGCAAACTTCAAGACGCGAGGGTCCAACAGCTGAGACGACATGTCACACCTTACAACTTCGATAGCCGACCCCAGGCACACACACACACACACGCACACGCACACGCACACACACACACGCACACACACACACACACACGACACACGCATCGCACACTCGCAAATTAAACCGCATAAACCCTGGAAAGAAACACGCTGGAAGAGGACCTTCCTGGATTGGCTGCCACTCCTTCCCGGTGCCGTGGCATTCTTGCAAGGGGGTTTTGATGGATTTGTACAAATTGAAAGGGTCTTACGGGGGGGGGGGGGTCCTGAGAAAGCATTTGCCTATCAATTAGGATTTTGCGCATAGGTGAGTTAAAACGGCAGCGTAAGGTCAGGTATAGGGTGTCTTAAACCTTACAAACCCTAGACGACTAAACCCAATTAAGCCCTGAGCTAAGGCGCCTACTTCGTTTGGAAGTTCTCCAAGCTGCCGAAGCAGTACCTGGGCTTTGGAGTACCAAACTTTAATACTTTTTTGTTACAGGAACCATTATGAAATAAAAGTATATACTTTTTTCTCAAAGGAACCATTATGAAATAAAAGTATATACTTTTTTCTTACAGGAACCATTATGAAATAACAGTTTATACTTTTTCTCCCTGGTTACTTCAAAGCCTAGGTACATCGCCGCTGCCGGCGATCCGAAAGCCTCCTCGGGCACTGGAGCCTCGCAGTTTAGGGCGCCTTACATATACATTCGGATTCCTTTAACTTGGTAGCTGAGTGGATGCACTTTGCACTTTTTGGGATAGTATTTCCCGCTATAAAACTAAAAGTGTGCACTTTTGGGGGCTTCTGAAATTATCAACCTGTGCGGGCGCTTGCAACCCTACTTGGCAACCCTACGCCCTAAAGTCTCAATCTAAAAACCCATACCCTAAAGTTGCCCATGAGTGCATGATGCATCATCAGGGTAGGTTTCGAAAGTTCTTCTAGACATGGAGCGACGCAAGAACCCCGAACCCGAAGAACCCTACTGTAGGAGCCTGATTAAGAAACCTCGGGCCTTTACTAGTGTTCCTCATATGAATCCTACTATTTTGGGGTTATAGGCCCAGGGTTTCTTAATCAGGTTCCTACATTCTCATTGGCTGTTAGCTCAACTTTTCAACTTTTGGGGTTCTTATAACGAAGGCGATTCTGAAAGTTTCAACTTTTGTTTCCCTGGGTTTTGGGCCAGTGAGCATTACACCCTGTATACAACCTTGAAGGAACCCGGGAGCCTCCTTGGAAGTCTAGGGTTCGGGGTTTTAGGGTTTAGGGTTTTAGGGTTCAGGGTTTTGGGGTTTTGGGGTTTTAGGGTTCAGGGTTTTAGGGTTTAGGGTTTTGGGGTTCAGGGTTTTAGGGTTTAGGGTTTTAGGGTTCAGGGTTTTAGGGTTCAGGGTTTTGGGGTTCGGGGTTTAGGGTTCAGGGGTTTAGGGTTCCGGGTTTTAGGGTTCAGGGTTTTGGGGTTTAGGGTTTTGGGGTTCAGGGTTTAGGGTTTAGGGTTTTAGGGTTTAGGGTTTAGGGTTTAAACCTGGCGTCCGACCAAGTGTAGGGTTTAGGTAGTATGAAGAAGTCCTTGTTACCCTAAGACTCCATGTGCCCATATAGTAGGTACGTAGGCCTTAAAGGGGTCCCTGTATGGGTATTTTAAGGCCTCAGCACCTACTATATTGGTACATGGAGTCTTTGGGTTAGTGGTCTCTAAAGACGCATAGAAGGGAGTGCTTGGATTCCCAGGGCTGGATGCCAACCTCCAGTTTACAGCTTCATGGGCACTTGCATACAAACCTAAATGAGCTCTCAGAATACCGTCTGAGGCCATTTTTGGCCTTCAAATCGCGACCCTTACACCCTAAACTTTAACCCGAAAGCCTCTAACCTTCAAGTTGAGACCTGGTTTTGTCAAGGTCCGTAAACCATTTGAACTCATGTTCAGCCTTCCAATCCTAACCCTAACATCCTCAGCACCCTAAACCCTGCTTTACCAAACTCCCAGAAAAGGAGCTGAGAAGTGGGGCCTCTGGACGCAGGACTCGACTTAAAGGGTTTAGGGCCTTATACCTGTAGGGCTTTGCAATATTAAGGTATTTTCAAGGGCTCGGCATGAGGCTTATTCAGGCTTAAGGATCTTACAGGGCTTAGGGCCTTATAGGGTTTTGCTATATTGCAGTGTTTTCAAGGGCTCGTTCTGAGGCGGCTTATTGAGGTTTATATACGGTTTGCGAAAGAAGCAGTTCGAGTTCATAGTAGCTCTATACGCATTTTGTCCCTGCATGTCTCTAAGCATACTGCAATATTTATGCCCTAAGTCCCCATTTCAACCACTGGGGCATTCAGGCTCCTGTACGAAAACCGTCGTAGCAGCCCTTGTCCCACGGCTTTGAGATTGTAGCCTTGGGACTCGAAACTTTGCTTGAAGGCTAATTCCTATTGGCTGTAAACTCAACTTTTAAGCTTTTGGGTCTCTCTACAGGGTAGTCAATTCTGAAAAGTTTCAACTTTCATTTCCTTGGGTTTGGGGCCAGTGAGAATTGTAGCAGACGTTCTGCCTGGTCTGGGTTTTGGGTCTTCTGTTCGTAGAAATGTGGCTACGCCAAAAGGAACCGAAGACCCTGGAAAGGCCCTATACCCTTATACAAAGAACCCCCATGTGGCACATGAACCTTGCTTAAGCCCTGTTAGGGTTTCATTTCGGCTTCAAGGTGTGCAGACATGCGCATTTTTGAGACCAGGTCCCACAAACGTCGCATCTGTAGATTTGTATCCCGAAAGACCCAGACCTTCCAAAGTCCCGTAATAAGGGCAGATTATACTTTAAATCATATTTAGGTATCCTATTACAATTTAAGGTATATTCCTTAATTCAGGGATTTTGGAAGGTCTGGGGACTATGCTCATGATAATTTGCTGTGACTTGCCAGTTAGACGAGTGTAGAACACGTAATTAAATAAAATGTACCTACACCCGTTGGGCATGTTGGTAGCAACTTTCGGGACAGGGCATCCTAGTAGCTGCAGTTGAGCAAGCTCAACGAGCAGCGCGGGGGAAGTCTGGTTTCCGCAGCCACAAACTGTGCGAGCTAGAACTCTCGCTCATGGCGGAAGCGGGGGTGGCCGTCTCCATGGCGGCGAACAATGGGCACTTGCTCAAGCGATTCGGCCTTGCATTTGCTGTGCCAAAGGCTCCACTTGACAACCTGCACGGAGCCAACCTGCCAGAGCCGTTCGTGGCACTCCGAGACCCGGCCATGCTTCAGGAGAACACGCTCATCATTGACTCGCAGTTCGCATGCACGCCATCCGATGCCCCCAAAACCTCTGCCCGCTCGTGGGTGCTGGCCTTCGACCTCACATACCTGGTCCGTGGCTTGGATGTGGTGAAGCTCCGCCAAGGCAAAGGCTTCGTCGGCTCGGCCTTTCATCCTTCCAGTCTAGCTTCAGTGCCAGAGTAGAAGAATTCGTGGGATAGTTGGGTTTGTGATTTCCGGGTTTAAGGTTATGCGGCTGATAGTGCACAGGATTCCCGGGTCTTGGGAGGATTGTGGTGATGCATACTGGACTGGTGGTGGGTTTAAAGATTAGGATCGATCTTCTACGAGCCGCAGTCCTTAAAACTGTACAGCCCAGACTTCTCTGCAAATTAACCCCCATACGTCCATGTTATCTTATTTTTCTGATATATGATATATGATAACATGAAAAGCAACACAGCGTAGCAGAATAACTATGTTGCAGAGCCGTGTATAGCCCATTTCAATTTTCAGGAGCAGTATGGTACAACCAAAACGCAAAAAAAAAGCCTTAATTATTGACTGTACTATTTGGGGGCTCCTCATTACAATTGCAGCAAAGTGGGCCTAAAAAGCCTGTTCTAATTATTAAGGCCCCTACATTCATTTCAACAGCCCGATCCCTTCCTCGTCCCATTTTGCAGATGCGGAAAGGACCCGGGACCTCGTGGAGTGCGCTTGAGCGGATACGAGCCTCCTGGCTCAGACTAGCATTCCTGTTTGCTGGCTTACCTTAAGGGTCCATGTGCCCACGGTTTAGGGTTTAGGGTTTAGGGTTTAGCATGTACTTTGGCCCCAAAATACCTATATACGGACTATTTTAAGGCCCAGGTAAATATTCTATGAGTCTCCTGGCTCAGGCAAGCCAAAAGACCTTTCGGGTTTGGGGCCTATAGGGGTGTATAGGGGGTGAAGGGCTTAGTGCTAGGGTAGAGGGCTTCGAGTTTAGGGCGTTTTCAGCGGTTTAGGATTCAGGAGTAGCAAAGCCTGAACAAAGCATATTCGTCAACCGTGTTCTAATTTTGGTGGGTCCATCTGGTTCCCTTCAAAGGGTCTGCGAAGTACGGGTCCCAGTGCCCAAAAATTACCTTTTTGGGCCTAATTCGGCTCATGGCAACATCGGAGTGACAAAAGATCGAAAACTCATAATATGATTGTTACATATCAGCAAGAGGACTCCCTGCCCAAAGCCCAAACTGTCGCTGTTAGAGAGACTGCGGGGGGATTGATTATGCCGTCACCTTTCAGACAGCTCACTACAGCATCAAGGCACCCATGAAGCCCGGTCATTGGGACAAATTCCTGGAGCAGTTGAGCCGTGGCAATATCATGAAGTGTAGGGCTTGTGCTGCTGTTCGTGATACGAAGAGACTGGAGACGGCTGCTATAGCAGCAGCCGAGGGCCCGTCGCCCGACGCATCCCAGCTTGTGAGCGCCAATCCTGTGCCCGAAGCATCCCAGCCTGTGGGCACCGATCCTGCACCGCTAGCCCCAGCGGACCTGCCAGACAAGAGCAAGCAAGGTCGCCCGAAACGAGGCGAGAGGCCGCCTCAACTGCTGGACTGGATGGAAGCCCACCGTGCCAATGTCTATCGACACATAGAGGGAGCTCGGTAATACTGCCGGGCGTGTAACGAGGAGAAGTACTTCGTCCGAGTAGCCTTCGGCGGCCGCCAGTTCCGCCTCTCTCTTATGCTGTGGCCTAGACTGCTCCAGAGATCGTTTGTGCTGGGCCACGAGAAGTGCAAGAAACACAGGCTAATTATGGTTTAGGGTATAGGGGTTTAGGGTTTAGGGTTTAGGGTTCAGGGGTTTAGGGTTTGGGGTTTGAGGTTTAGGTGTTGTTGTGGCCGTGATCTGGATGCGCTTCCGCATGTCAGCAATGAAACGAAAACCTGCACCCTCAAGGCCCCATGCACCCACATAGTCTCTACTTTGGCCCGCAGGCCCTGTATAGCAAGAGCTTTGAAGCACAAGAGAAGATATGCACACACGACAGACCCTAAAACCCAGCCCTAAACCCTCAACAGCCTGAGCTCTAAATCCGAACTCTGTTCTAGCCGAAGCACGGGGCTACCTAAGCCCTTGAATGCCATGGCGTTAACGTCTCACAAGGACATTGGAGTTTAAGGAAATCCCGCTAAGCATCCACGTGCTCAAGTAGTACGGGTTTAGTTTCCAAAAACCATTCAGAGTATGGATTTTCGGACCTAACACCCTACTGTTTAAGCACCTGTACCCTGAGGGTTTTATTGGGTAACTTGCTTGGTGGCGAGGATCCTATTACAAGGTATTCAGGTAGCCACGACAAGTACTACATTGTAGCGTAGGCTCTTTTGACGGTCGAGGGGTTCCAACAGGGTACGGACAATCGCATACAAAATGTGGAACACCTGTATAGCTATCACCATTATTCCTTCGGGTTCCTGCCTAGATTTCATTATCATAACATGTGTGCCCCAAAGCCCTATTCTAAGAGTAAGGCCCCAATATTATTACATTACACTGCACAGGCAGATGGACCATCGGGGTTGGTTTCGGGTACGGCACCTGGTGATCCCTAAGGCTACATAGGATACTCTAAGGTCTTAGGGCCTAAAGTGCCCATATGACCCGTTAACGTCTAATCATGTACTATACAGGAAGTGGGAGCATTCGGTCACAGCATTTCAGCTTTGACGCTTGCGATTGTCGGCGAGTCGCCGGGCACCAAATCGTCGAAAGATTCTCAGGTTTTGCTTACCCTCAACCCTAGACCCTGAACCCTAAACCCCAAACCCCCAAACCCCTAAGCCCCTAAACCTCAAGCTCTAAACCCCTGAACCCCTAAGCCCGTAAACCCCAAACCCCAAAACCCTAAAGCCCCAAACCCCTGAACCCCTAAACCCCTAAACCTCAAAGCCCTAAAGCCCTAAACCCTGCACCCTTCACCCTGAGGCGTCTCCAAGCCACAGGAGGCCTGGTCTGCTTTCTTGGCGTTCTTCTGGTTGGCGCTTAGGACTTTAACTTTGTGGGTTTCTATATGAGCCATAACTAAGGAGGCTAAAAGTTTAACTTTTAGGAGGGGTTCAGAAGTCAGCCAAGCTTTATAACGGGCTCACGTCACTAACTTTGCAACCACAGGGTATATTACCTCGAGGGTCATACCCTACCCCGTTTTTAGGGTACCTAGTTTTATGGTTAGGATCTCCTATATAGAAAAGTAGGTGCCTCAAAAAGTGGAGGGTATGAGCCTGTAGGCAAGGGTCCGTTATAAGGGCTCCTTTAAGGGCTACTTTACGGGATCTCTTCACGGGTTCTTCAAGGGTTCTTTGAGGGATCCTTTAAGGGTACAGGCGCAGGGTTTATTACATCTTATTATCTAGCCCCTGGAAGCATAGGGTGAGGGTCCGTTAAGGGTTTAGGAAGGAGCGGAAGAAGAGGAGGATCGCAGCCGAGAAGGCCATGGACAATCAGAGGAGGCGTGGCCAAGGAACTCGCGCGGGATTAAAGCAGGCTTAGTGCAGGCTAGACAGTGCGGGAAGGAGCTACCATGTACCTTGGTGTGGTCACGGAGGCCCTGAACCCTTCGAGGCAAGCTGAGAGCCGACGAGACGCCTCAGCTCTGTGCGCTCTTCAAAACACGAATGTGGCCCCCGTCCCGGGCCCCTTTGGGTTAAGGGTTAGTCCAAACCCTTTATGCTATGATTTTAAACGCTATTGCTCTCAATGCTTCTTCTTGCTATTACGACTATGCTTCGTACCATGTTACTGTTTGGTTATTTTTGTCAGGATTCGTGTTACCATTTGTTTCCCTCTCAAAAAGGACACATGCAAGGAAATGTTGGTAAGGGAGCCTAACAAAGTATGTTTTTGGAGGGTCTATAGATGCTAAACCCTCTACACCCCATGAAACCCTGAACCCCTAAACCCTATAGACCCTGAACCTGACTGGGCCTTTCCAGGTCAGGCGCCAGCTGGCTGGCAGTTTGACCAGGTCGCACGCTTGCGGTTGAGGGCTCCGTGGGATTGATGTTTCTTCGATAGTGAACAGGGTAAAAATTTTGGCCTTATATATTGGCTTCGAAAGTTGGAACTTTTTGGGGCCCGGTTGTTGAAGAAGAGAGGTTTGGGGGCTTACCTGAACTGAATAACCTACCTTTTCAGGTATCCTGATTATGATTTCCTTATATATATATATATATGTATATAGAAGTCCTGAAAAAGGTAGGTTACAGGGCTTGTCGTTGCTCAACATCCTGAAGGGTCCCAAGTACCCCTACAAGGAGGGTACTTGCCGAAGCCGGTCTAGTGATCCCTTTGATAGAAACCCTACTTTCTTCGATGTAGGTACTTAGGACCCTTTGGCTTTGCCTCGTCCTTGTTTCCTGATAGCGAAATTTAAGACGGGCACTTTGTAAGTAGGTAGTAAGTAGACTCAGCAGACGTATGAGTACCCGAAAAGGGATCCTAATTGGGGGGGACGATCCTCATAAGTCTATACCATACCTATTCTAATAAATCCCGCGGCCCTCCGAGTAAAGAATACCAGCGATAAAGATTGGAGGAGCACGTAGAACGGCTTTGGGGTGTAGATTTGAGGGTGCAGGTCTGACGGTTCAGGCCAGAAGGGTGCCAAGGACCCAAGAATTAGGTACTCAGGTTTAGGATAGTAGCTATGTAGGTTCCTGTTTGGGAGAGTATATGATAATTCGGTACTTGGACCCTTAGGGAGGGTTTCAGGCTTGGTTGATATTTCGAAAACAGGGTTTCGGGATGTTGGGTTTCGAGGTTCAGGTTTTCAGAAAGGGTGTCGGGTTTATGCAGGCAAAAAAACCTCGAAAGGGGAACTGGGGTTTAGGGCAGTTTCAGGGCTTTGCGCTTTTCGGGGCTTAGTGCTTCGGGCTGCAAAGCGGCTTGACCTTAGTCCACGTAATGCTAGGCTACTTTTCTGGGTTCTATCGTGTAGCTTCTTGGAGGGGGTGTGGGAGTGACAAGAAGTCTGAGTCAGCAGGGTGCTCCTAGACTTCCTGAGCCCCAAGCCCTAAACCTTAAACCCACTTCCATGTGAACTGCCACTTACTGTGTAGCCCCCTTTGGTGAGGCGGGCTTTGGACCTGCATTCATGCGGAGAAAGAGTCATTGCACAGAAAACAAACACCTTAAACCCTTGCCCTTGAAACCATAAACCCTAAAGCCTAAACCCTTGACCTTGAAGCCTAAAGGAACCGTAAACTGCAGGCAGATTGGTGGCTCGAAGAGCCCCGTGACTGCAGGGGAAGTTGGCGTTTAGAGGTTGGTACACTAGGAATTTCCATCGTAGAGTTTGGGATTGAGGGCTTAGGGTTTAGGGGCTGTAGGAGTTTGTTTTCGATTTTAGGGCCGCAGTGTCGGGGGTTTAGGATTTCCAGGGTTCAAGGTTTCGGGTCCAAATCCACATGCTCCTTGACATACTTGCCAATATACGAGTTTACAATGCTGTTTTCCTAAAACTAAACCGTGGCAGCAGCCAGCTGTACTCCTCACTTTTGGTCACCTCCTTGTTGCATTGGTTGCTCTTCTAGGAGGTTCAGGGCACTTCGTCAGTAGGTTCCCTTTAAGATCCCTTAAGCCTCCACGTGCCGACATGGTATATGCGTTGGCCTTGTCGTTGGCCTTGATTGGGCTCTTATGTTCGGGCTTTGTAGGCCCAACAAATGCAAGATAACAAGTCCTCCGGGCCCATAGTGAATGCTGCTTCGTGTACCTCCTGAACCCTAAACCCTAAACCTTTGCCTACAGGCTCCATGTTCCTATGTAAAAAATACCCTAACCTCAAAGGGCTCCCTATGCTGGCTTCAATGGGCTTCCAAAATTTGGGGCTTAAGGCGGTTTAGGGTTTAGGGCTTAGGACCCACATATCCACTGCATCTAATATCAGTCAGCAGAATATAAATATAGGGGCCGTAATGGTTACCTATACTGGCTGGGCTTCCCTGTTATACTTCTAGTATAATATGCCCCAAAACACTGTTCAAACTATCAACGCCCCTACATCAACTAAGCCAAAGTCACACTTGCAAGGCCGGGGAGGGTTCGGGGTTCGGATCTGCGGTCGTTCGGAGAATACGGCCGCGGCGATTCAACCAACAAGCCCTCCTAACCCCGACACGCTCGTAGCTGGCAGCTCCACACCCTTCCTAAGTCCCTAAGTCCAACGCACATGCCACTCACAAACCCAAACCCAGCCTAGCAGCAACACAACACCAGGGGTTAAGAACAAGCTGCGTGAAGCCCCAAGACTAACTCAGCCCCTCAAACTCCGGTTTAGGGTTTTACCTGAGCCCTGTACCTTAGTTGCATCTTCTAAAGGCCACGTACAACGCAGAACAAGGAATATTCAGACTGCATGACTTCGGGGGTTAAGCTAGGGTTTAGGGCTTTGGTACCCAAAAAGTTTAACAACGTTAGAACTCTAGACCCCAAACCCGCACAACCTGAAACCCTAAAACACAAAACAAACTCCCCTAAATGCCACAAGCCTTTACCCCAAACTCCGTTTTGGACAAGGCATGGCCTCATCATGGAGAAGCCCACCACCCTGCCACCGGGAAAGTATGAGGTCACAGGCGACCGCGAGGCGTCCAGGGTTCAGAGTAGGGTTCAGGGTTTAGTACTTGGAGGGTCGGGGGACTTAGTAAGTAGTTATTTTGCAGACTTACAGGTACCTTAACCTCAATTAAAATCCCTTTTAGCATACTTATAACTCTACTTATCACCTATTTACTAAGTCCCCCGACCCTCCAAGTAGGGTTTGGGTTTTAGGGTTTAGGGTTCCTTTAAGAACTCCTTGGAAGGATGCCATAAGGGTTCCCTTACAATCCAAGGGTAAAAGGAGGGACCCTGAATAAGGGTCCCTTTAAAGGGATCTATAGGGATTCTATAAGGGTATAGGCTTTAGGGTTGAGGGGTTTGGGGGGTTTAGGGGGTTTAGGGTTAAGGGAGGGACCCTTAATGAGGACCCCTAGGCATATACCGCTAATATAGCTATTATATACTCGTTATATAGCCCATTATAGGGTAGGGGTCCCCATTAAGGGTCCCTCCTTTTCCCAATTGATTCAACATTTTCCGGGCTAAGAAGGAGTTCAGGGTTTGGGGATTCATACGGTTGATGATATAAATCCTGCACTACCCACAATAAGGAATGTACCATAATTCCCATAGCTTAGGGTTCTTAAGATCATGCAGGACTTACATCAGCAGTAGGGTTACGGAGAAGGCTTCAAAATGGTTGAAGGGCATTGGGGTGGTGTTTAGGTTATGCTCCAGGGTTTAGGGGCTTCGGCCGCGAATGAAGCAGAGGACAGGGCCTTTTTGGAATGTGCTAGTAGTTCGTATACAGCTTTGGTTTTCATCAAGGTTGTGAGAGAGTCACAGTATGTTTATGCAGTCCCCCTTGATCAACCGAAAAATGTCGAAGGGTTCTGGTATCCTTGGGAGGGCCGTGGGGGAAGGTTTATGGAGACTGTTCAAGTTAGTTTGGTTTTAGAGTTTAGGGTGTAGCACGTCAACAACCACAATAACAACAGTAGTAACCGCTCCAAGGCACAAAAACGACAGAAACAGTACTTCCCTGAACCACGCTGAGTCCCGGCAGGTGACGACCACCTTGACAATTTTTCCAAAGGACGCCCGCGCACCCTAAGGGTCCCAAGCCTAGGTTCGGGGGACTTGGTATATAGTTCTACCTGTAGCCGAAAAGACCTACCTTTGTAAGGAGCTACATATAGAAACCATAATAAGGAGCCCTAAAAAGGTAGGTCTTTCCGGCTGCAGGTATTTCAGACTTGTAAGTATCATAGCTCCATATAGGATCCCGTTTGGGGCACCTGTAACTCTACTTACTTATTACCTACTTAACTACTAAGTCCCTCAAGCCCTATGCCTAATCCCTAAACCCTAAACCTTCTTACTGAGTTCCTTGACCGTCCAAGTAAGGCTCCATTTACTGTTTTCAATTCGTTTGTACTTAGGCCTTAATGGGGTTCCTAGGGGTACTCGAAGGGCTAAGTATACACTATATAGGCACATGGAGCCTTGGGGAGAGTCATTGTAGTTTAGGGTTAAGAGTTTTCTTCTGGACTGGCTCGCGTCATGTTCGTGTTTGGGGTTTTAGGCTTTACCCTGATGCTCCTGGACCCTCGTAGTGAGATCCCAAACCCCAGCCCCCAAAGTAAGCCGAAACCCTCCCCCAGAAAGCCCAAGACCCTCTTACGAGCCTTAGTGTAAGGGGCAGCTCGGAGCACCTACATTCTAAGGCTTTTTCTCTGAGGGTTGGAAGAACCCAATAACTGGTGACATGCTTGGGTTTTGGTAGTACCGCAACCTGGTACATGATTTTTAGGTCCGGAGGCACTTCGACCCAAAGCTTAGACATTCTATGGCTAGAGTACAGGGGTAGTTTGTTCTTAAGCCCAAAAGTTCTCAGTCGGAAGTCGTGTAAACCCCTGTCTGTAAGGCCCCCAACCCTAAAACCTAGACCTCGCTACCCTAAAATTACATGTTTTGAGTGCTGACCCTTAGGGTGAGGCAGTTGCAGTTTTCTAGGCGCTGGCGCAAGGTTTAGGATTCCGGGCTTTTGCGCTAACAAACACTTTCTTGGGGCATGTTTGGTTCTCGGCTCTCCGTTTCTTTGGGCTCCCTGAGGCTCTACGTACCCATATAGAAGGTACTTAGGCCCTAAAGGGGTCCCTAGATGGGTACTTTTAAGGCCTAAGCACCTGCCGTATGGGTGCATGGAGTCTTCGGGGCTTTCGGATAGAACGCCTGGCCCTTGATGTGTGAGTCTCGGCCACAAGTCATAGAACCTAATAGATAGTGAACAGGGGAACTTCGAACTTTTTGGCCTTATATACCTTAAGCCGGAATAACCTACCTTTCTAAGGACTTATATAAGGAAATCATAGTAAGGAACCCTAAAAAGGTAGGTTATTCCGGCTTAAGGTATTAGCTCCATTTTTAGGAAGTTTGAACTTTTGGGGGCCCGGGGGTTGAAGAGGAGAGTTCAATTGAATGTCAAGCCCGAAATCCTGTCGCACCAAAGCCCGTAGAACCTTAAAGTGTCCTAAAGCCTTAACTGCCGAACCAGGACAGTGAGGGACATCAGCGATGGGAGTTGGCAGATGGGGCGAAACTCTTCGATGTGACGCATTTGCCTTGCCGTGCCAAGGCTAAAGATTCCAGTATGAGCGTGTTCGGAATCGGAGCAGGTCCGGTACGTTAGGGCTTGCTTGGAGGGTCGAGTGGCCTGGCGAGTAGTTGTTTTATGGACCTATAGCTAAGTATCATGGCCCTAACTGGGATCCCCTTCAGGCTACTTATAAGTTTTCTTGCTACCCTCCAAGTAATTAACGGGTTCATATGGGGTTCACAAGTTTACAAGGAGCTGAAGGGTCTACAAGGGAGTTTGCGATTCAGGGCTTATCCAGTATGGAGTTTGTACTATAGGGGCCTAAATAATTACCAACACCACTTTGATGGTTCCTTATTATAACTATACTAGAAGGGGCCCCAAAACCCTATTCTAATTACTAAGGCCCCTCTATTAGGGGAAGACGTTTTGATGGGTTCACGAAGGTACCCATGAAGCATAGTATAGGGAACTCATGCTTCAGGTTGTTGATCCGGGAGACTACGGTTGATGATAAAAATCCTGCATTACCTTAGGGATCCTAAACTATGGGAATTATGGCACATTCCTTACAATGGGTCATGCAGGATTTACATCATCAACAGTAGTTTAGGGTTAGGGTTTGGGGTTTAGGGTTTAGGGCCTTTGGGCTTTGTCTAGCCGGAAGTGCTCCTGTTTCTCCGGGATCTGCTTCGGAAATATCTTCAGCGCTGACGTCTTCCATGCTTGAGGCTCACAGATAGGCATGTGAACACTATCCCAATGACCGGCAGCCGTGAGCTTTCATCGTCCAGGTTGTCAAGTCTTTGTAAAATTGCTGGAAAGTAGCCTTTACAAACTCGCATCGCATTATCAGAGGACGAGCATGACGATTTTCGCAGAACTGCTCGAGATCATTTTGCCAGCGTATGGCCTTGCATCATCTTATTTTTGGAACTAGCCCAAAGGCTTGGTTTTAAGGTAACTGGGCTGGAGGCATTGGACGGGCCTCAGAGTCCAAAGCCAAAAGCCATTAGATGGACTGGGTGCATTTGGGAATGAGAATGGAGGATTACTTAGAGATCATGGGACTTTTTAAGTTAAGTTATAATAGGGATTAGAAGTCCCCTAAGTGGGGTTATCCTAATTATAACCTACTTATAGCCTGACTTACTAAGTCCCATGATCCTCTAAGTACGCCAATCCGCAAGCAAGCCTTGAACCATCTTGAACCCGGATCCTTCTGAGGCTGTAGAACCATCATGACACCTGAAAACACCCGTATCAACTCCCTATGCCAGAACCAGAGTAGTGAAGGTACCAAGCCCTAAACCCCAAGCCCTCAAAGCCTAAACCCCGAGCTTGCGGAACTTCAGAGGTTCCGCTCGCTACACTGGCTCCGGATGCTCTTTCTCCGCAGAGAGCGGTCTCCACGGGCTCAAATTTCAAGCACTGCATTTTCAGATTTGGGGTTCGGTATAAAGGTTGTGAGGTAGGGTTTAGGGTTTAGGGGGTTCGGGATAAAGGTTGTGAGGGCGTACATATATAGATGGAGGGATGGAGGGATGGTATAGGTCAAGGTATAGGCATAGGCAAAGGCTTACATGCACATTACAACTTATCTGGGAAGCCAGGCTCTTGGGGTTTGTAGTTTGGCGAGGTTTTGGGTTGCAAGTGCGACATGCCACTGCAACCTCTCTACAAACAGTCTTATAAGCACCATTTCAGAAGTAGGGGCCATTTGACGCACAGGTTTCGGACTTAGGGTTGTTTGTTGTAGTAGAGTATACGCTAAGGGCGCCAGTACCTCCATAAAAAGGGTCCGGAACTTCCGAAGGCCTACACCTAATCCTCAGCCGTAAACTTCAAACCCTGAACCCTAAGGCCCTATAAACCCTCCCTCCAAGGGCCGAAACCCTAAACCCTAAGGCCCTAACCCCTCAACCCTATACACGAAGGCCCTAAACCCCTCATCTTCGATCCTAGGCCTTTAAACTCGGATAAACTGCCAAGGCTCGCCCTCTGGCGCGGCGCCCGCCGACTTTCCGGCATGGGCCCAAGGGTTTAGGGGATCTTTAGGAGTTCCTGAGTGAGGGTTCCTTTAACAGGCTTTCAGTAGGGTTCCTGCCAAGGGTAGGGGCTGAGGGCTTTAGGGGTTCAAGGGTTTAGGGTATTGGCGATTGGGGTTTAAACTTAGATAGTAAACAGGCGGACTTTATTAATCTATTGACCTTGTATTTTAGCTCTATTTTCGAAAGATTGAGCTTTTTGGGGCCCGGTTGTTGAAGAAGAGAGTTTAAAGGGCTTCGTGTTCAGAGATTGGGGTCTCGCTTAGTATGAGAGCAGTGGGATTACTCAAGAAGCCCTGTTTCGAATCCCAGTCTGAAGAATGGGCAATAGTACTACCTATAGTCTCCATTGTAGTTCCTTTTTTGGGATTACCTTATAAGATCCTAATCATATATTTGGTTAAACCAAAAAAGGAACTACAATGGAGACTATAGGTAGTATCCTCTTAGACTGCCTACAACGTTATTGTTATATGGGTGGTTGTCAATATTAGGGTCATTTTTTGGGTGCTTATTATAATACGGCACCTAATATTTAGGGTACTCAAGAGGGGACCCTAATTTTGACAACCACCCATATGTAATACTTATAGCCTACAGGGTGGGGGGACGTACTCTCTAGTTAGCTATTAGAGACTTTGCTTGCACCATAACCCCAATTAGGATCCCGTTTGGAGTGCCTATAACTCTACTTCTTACCTCCTTACAAAGGCTCCCGGCGCGCCAAGCAAAATCCAACAAAGATATACAGTGTGAGGTGGTCTTTAGCCCAAGCCAGGACTCCTTTCAGGTGGGGTTTGCCCTTACTTGGAGGGTCGGGAAACTTAGTATATAAGCAGATGGTATGTAGACTTCTATAAGCACCCTAAAAAGGATCCTAATTAGGGTTTCGATGCTTGTCAGTTTGTCAAAAATGACGACTTACTAAGTCCTCGACCCTCCAAGTACGGTTTAGGGTTCGGGGTTCCACACTGGACAACGGGGCATTGTCACTGTATCTACATGAATACAAGAAAGGGGGTTATTGCGAAGTTGAAGTAACCGTGCAGCTATCTTACTTGTGATGTAGAAGCTTGAACAACGGCTGGTACTAAGACCCTAGGGTTCCGCCAAATAGGCATATTATGATATACCTCAGAATTATGTTCGTGTTTTTTTGCGGGCCCCTATATTACCTCAGCTTCTTTGTGATGCAAGGGGGCCTGTATGCTGCCACATCTTCATGACTTGGAGGGTCCAGGGCTTGGTACGTAAGTAATGCGTCGAGTTGTAAGTAGCCTAAAAGGCGTCCCATTCGGTATTATATACTTACCCAAAGTTTCAAAGGGTCCAAGTACCTAAGGAATTACGATCATGATTTGGGGAAGTATTCCCCATAACAGTACCTAGGACCCTTAGGGTTATATATATATATATATATATGTATATGACTCCACAACATGGATACTGTCTAACAGGTCCCGCGACCCTCCCGTAGATCCCAATCTCAAGTGCACACACTGCAAACCTTCATGTAGACCCCTGATTAATAAACCTGCTCTCCTTAACGGCCTTAAGATTAGGGTTTAGGGTTTACGATTCAGGCTTAATTTAGGATCTAAATCCCTCTGATAATGCTTCTTCAGGGACGGGGACTCAGTAATCACAATCTACCAGAGCCATTGCTGAGTGAGTCACCAACCATCTACATGGGCACTCGAGGCTCCGACAAGTCCATGCAACCCAATGGACCTCGAAGTGCATCCACCGCACAGACATTGTATACACTCCCTAAATAGCAAAAGTTTTCAATCCTAAGGCTCAGCAAGGCCAAATAGGTGCGTACAATGGCCCCTTTGCATCTTTGCCTTCAACCACGGGTCCTTGTAGCTTTTCGGCTATTTCCTAGACCCTACCCCCAGAGAAACTTTGCCACTCAACCCCCTTAGATTAGATACTTCATAAACTTGAACCAAAACCATGGACAAGTTGATGCTTGCAGCAACCCGCGTTTAGATAGCCCTACACATCCCCAAACCCTAAGGCCCGAAAGCTTAAGGTCTAATCCCTAAACCCTAAACCCTAAGTCACCTCCACTTAAAAGAAAACCTACAGGGTTAACCGTAACCCTAGAAGCCGCCAAGCCTAGTACTAAAGTCATCTAAGCCTCGACCCGAAACCCTATAGTAGCCCTATAAGGTGTAGGCTTCGGGGTCTAGGGTCCCAATCCCTAAAAGTACGTCTCGGCAACTTGGTGCCTACAGGTGCGACCCGGTGCTGCCATGCCCGCTGTGAAGGGTTGTCAGAAGTCGCTTGGAGACCATTGAGTCCCCAGAGAGCCCAATACCCCTTAATAAGACTGTAGCTTCAATTGTATAAGGCTTCATATTATGATGTAAGCTATATTCCTTCATTAAGAGGTATTGCGCTCTCTGAGTCGTGGTTCAGGGTTTATGGGGGCTTCGACTTCAAAGCCGTGAAGGGTTGTCAGAAGCCGCTTGCTGACCAGGGAGGCGGCTCGAGGCTTTTAGCTTCGTAGCTGAGTGGATGCACTTTACACTTTTTGGGATAAGACTACCCACTATATAACTGAAAGTGTACACTTTTGGGGGGCTTATGAACTCAGCTACTAGGTTAGGGTTTAGAGTTCAGCGCCTCTGGGTTTCTCTAAGGCTCCATGTACCGGAAAAATATATACTAAGGCCTTAAATGTACCTGCATAGGGACCCCTTTAAGGCTTAAGTAACTACTAATAAAGGTACATGGATCCTTTGGGTTTTAGAGCTTAGAGTCTTTTGGGGGGTGTCAGAAACTCCAAAACCCCAATCAAGGAATATACCCTAAATCATATCAGGGTCTTTATTATAATTTCAGGTATATTCCTTAACTAAGGGGCTTTGGAGTCTTTGGGGAGTCGCTTGGTGACCATTGAGTCGTGGTTCAGGGCGTTGAGGGTTTCGAGTTCAGGGCCTTCTGCGTTTAGGGTTTGAGGGGTTTAGGGTTTAGGGTTTAGGGGTTTTTGGGGCTCAAGGGATATACGGTTGATGATATAAATCCTGCAGTACCCATAATAAGGAATGTACCACAATTCCCATAGCTTAGGGTCCTTAAGGTACTGCAGGATTTATATCATCAACCGTACCTTAGGGTTCCTTCATGGGATCTATAAGGGATCTATAAGGTTCCTTTCAGGGATCTATAAGGTTTAGGGGACTCCCGACTTCAAGGCTTTCTAGGGTTTTAAGGTAAAAGCCAGAAAGTTGGAATATGATTATCCTATGGTAAATTATAGGGTATCCTACCATGAAACCATATTCCAACTTTCTGGAGTTCCCTATAGAGCTTATAGAGTCTTTTGCGGTGTGTCTGTAATGTTCGGGGTTTCGTTGCGATGAAGCAGCATCGGATTAGTTCCTGCGCCCTTGGGTTCAACATCTGGTTTTATCCTTGGGGTTTAGGGTTGAGGGTTCAGGGAGCTTGCTATTTATCTGACATATATGGAATTAACATTGACGAGCGTCCCGATGTTCTGAGTAGCTACATGGGGGTTTCCGAAAATTAGGGGTACCTGACTTTGGGGTCCTTATAAGAAGGATCCTACTATATTTAGGGTACCATATTGGGCTCCCCTATTTTCGGAAACTCCCGCATATGTCTTGTTCAGTTGTCAATGCGTTTATATTGACTGGATTCGCGATGCAATGTAAGGACTTAGTCACATCTGTTCTGTTGAGCGAGAAACACTGTCATGAAGCTGGTAGATGTGCTTCACATTGAAATACTGCTTGTTTTCAAATCAACTACGTTACTTTTCCTAGTCGCCGTAGTTGTTGTGGCCGCGTCCACACCCAAGACCCCGATTTCTGCCTGCTTGTCAAGGCAAGATCATGCTGTTCTTTTCGTCCTGTCTTCGGAACCTACGAAAGCACCGTGAAGATCTTGTACTGAAGTGGTGTGGTGGAAGAATGAAGGCTTGCGGGCGGCAGGATTTGGGGCACCAACTTCAAGTAGCCACATCACCCTAAGCCCTTAGCCCTTACACCCTTAAGTTCTCAATCCAACCCCAAACCCCCTAAACCTTACACCGTGTGTCTGCCAAGCATGCGTAGATGGGAGCTTCTGTAAATCGATTTTGAGAGTCAGGGACTTCTTATTATGAGTTTAGGGGATAGGTTTAGGGGTTCAAGGTCTTGAAGGTTCTTCCTCGGGTTTCTTGATCAGGTTTCTACACCATCAAGCCACGTATATAAACTACAACGAGCATGCTGGTTGCTCCATGGCCTGAAGCTAAAAGCCCTCGAGCGCTTAGACTTAGGGTTTATCTGAGTTTATATACGTACGGCCCCCTAATAACCTAATATGGACCCTTAGGCCTTCAGGGGGATTATAGGGACCAAAGTTGCTAGGATCATCTCCCTACACCCTACTTGGAGGGAGGTTTGTAGAATAACTACTTACCAAGTCCCTTACCCTCCAAGTAAGGCACCCCTGAGTAGGCTATATATATATATATATATATATATATCCCAACGCCCATTTCTAGAACGCTAAGCCGCTATACCCCCAGCCTTAAAACTTATCACCCGTAAACCAACAACAAAGCCTCAAAACCTGAACCCTGATAAACCCCTAGACCCTGAAGCCTAAACCCTAAACCCCTAAGCCCTAAACCCCTAAACCTGAAGCCTAAACCCTTCTTGGAGGGCCGGGGGACTTAGTAACTGGTTGTTTGAGGGACTTATAAGTACCATAACCCCAATTAGGGTCCCTTTTAGGGTACTTATAAGTCTACTTACTGCCTACTTACTAAGTCCCCGACCCTCCAAGTTGGGTTGCAGTTGCAGCCAGTGCCTTGGCCAAAGTCTGACGGGACGCGAGGCTGCAAGGGAAAACAGGCGCGAGCGTGCGCTCTAAGGGCTCTATAGGGGTTCAGGGTTGAGGCTTTGGAGTTTTGGACCCCTATAATCCCTGAACTCCCTAAACTCTAATCCTTTGAACCCCAAACCCCTAATCCCTTAAACCCCAAACCCATGAACCTAAACCCCTATAGACCCTAAACCTCTAACCAGGCGGGCAGTATTCCTTCTTGGGGCCCTAAGGTTGCCCGAACCCCCAGGCCCTACAGGTAGGGAGTTTCCGAAAATGAGGGTTACCTTAGTTTGGGGGTCCTTCTCATAAGGGTCATACTATTCAGGGTACTATATCAGGGTCCCCTCTTTGCGGAAATTCTCACCTGAATCCCAAGAACCCGCCTTCTGAAGGACATGTCTCGGGCCTTAGGGTTTAGCGTTTAGGGTTTAGGGCATAGGCAAATTATAGCATGGACCCCGACCAGGTAGCATTCAGCAGGGGCTCCGGTAAAACCCTACAGCGCAGAGGGCTGCCAGCTCCTAAACGATCCACTAGGTACGTTCCACCGGGAAAGCGAATCGGCGATAGTTGAGCTTTTGGGTTTAGGCGGGTGTGAAGGCTACAATCGTTGTGGGTCACGGATGCTTTGCGGTAAAGATTCTTCTGGGTTGTACAACATGTTTATTCGGTTCTAAGCGGATCCATGTGATTTCCTAGGTCCTAGGTAGCAATTACATGGCCCTAGCGGGGCTTGTAATTTTTTGGGTCTGCAACACTGAAACTTCAAACCCCACATGCCTAATTTCAGAAGCTGATTTAGAAACCCTGGGCCTGCCACCCCAAACTTGTAGGATTCAGCTAAGGAGCCCCAATAAAGGCCCAAGGTTTCAAAAATCAGGTTCCTACATTAAGCAGCTCCAAGCCTAAACAGACAAAATTACCCGAAGGGCCCAGGTACCTGATAATGATATAATGTCCCACATAGTAAGCACCTTATAATTGGGCCCTTTGCATGAACCCTCTAGGCTCCTACACGGTGCTAGGGCTTTGAGACTGTCAGGGAGCATCCGAGACCCCTTGTTTGAAACCATAAGGGGATCCTTAATATCATGTTTGGATATCATGCATAATATATATATATATATATATATATATATATGTATATACATACATATGCATGTATGTATGTATATATATATATATATATATATATATATATGTGCAAGACAAATGTGTATACATATATAGAGAGAGAGTTTTTTCCACCTTCCTTTTTTCAACTTGGGGTTTAGGTCCAGGGTTCAGGGTATGGGGTTTACCCACCGATAATTCCCCACAAAGCCAAACGTAGCTCCTAAACCCGAAGCCCCAAACTAACACCTCACAGAGAAAACTCCTGAATTAAGGAATATCCCTTAAACTATAGTGGTTTAGGGCCTAGGGTTTGAATTTTGGTTTTAGGGTTTGGAATATCCCTTAAGCTATGGTACGACCCCAAATATGGTTTATACGGCATATTTCTTAGTCCAGGGGTTTTGGAGTTTCTGGGCTTGTCAAAGCCTCATAACTGCTCTTTGGGCTCTCTACCGAGGTGCGGTTCCTCAAGCCAAAGCAGCTCGAGGCAGATCTTAGTAGCTGACTGGATTCACTTTACACTTTTGGGGATAATCCTCCCCACTGTAAAGCTGAAAGTGTACACTTTGGGGGCTTATGAACTCAGCAACTAAGAGATTAATTTCAATTGAAATCTTCTGGCTTTTGAGCCGGGGATCGAGTGTAGAAGCTTTTTTGGGTTGGGATTTCATGGTGCTCTATCAGTGACACTGACGCTGTATTTCTGTACAGGGTTTGTTGTGGGGACTCCGTGGTGCTGTATCGGTGTTCTTTCCGGTTTTAGAGTGTTTTGGGTGAAGGAAGGAACAGCTGAATAGCTTGCTTTGAGGCTCGATGTCAAAGGCATCAGCCTTACATACTACGGTGATGTGTCCCATGAGCAGTCAAAACATGAGCCTGCGCTGGTCCTGATGGTGTTTTGAGTGTTCTCAACACCTGTAGCTCCAAACCCTACAAAAATAGTAGGTTATGACCCCTTATTTCGAGGGTAGACTAAACAGTTCTGAAGCCTGAACCCTCAAGCCCAAAATCCCAAAGGCTCCATGTACTTTTTGATAGGGTTCCTTTAAGGGTTCTATAAAGGACCCTTAAAACGGTAGATTTTTGGATCCCCAGGCAGACTGGGACTTCTGAGACCCCCCCCCAAAAAAATGAACTCAGGCCCGAAACCCCAAACCCCTTGAACCCTACGACCGCCAAGAAACCCCGAAGCCCCTGACCCTAATAGGTTGTAGGGGTTTAGGGGTTTGGGGGTTTAGGGGTTTAGGGTTTAGGGTTTAGGGTTTAGGGTTTAGGGTTTGGGGTTTAGGGGTTTGGGGGTTTAGGGCTTAGGGGTTTAGGGGGTCAGGGTTCCTATACCCGGATCTGTTTCGAGGCCCACCTGCACCTGCGACGCCTGAGCGGCGTCCGACGCAAGGTCGGCGCTTTGTTTACTCCAGGGCTGTGGACCGGCTCTTCAGTTTCCCCAAAGGCTCCATGTATCCATATAGTAGGTACTTAGGCCTTAAAGTACCCATATAGGAACCCCTTTGAGGCCTAAGTACCTACTATAAGGGCACATGGAGTCTTAGGGTTCAGGGTTTAGTAGGGTTTCGGGGCTAGGTTTTTTGGGCTTAAGGTTTTTTAATTATGGTTCTAAGGGGGTATAGATATATGGGCCTTAGTCATTAGAATAGGGTTTTGGGCCCATTATACTATAGTTCTAAGAAGGAACCCCCAAAGAGTATAGGCAATTATTGAGGCCCCTATATTATTACCTACTACCAGGACCCCCAAAACCCCTTCAATGGAGCGCTTTGGTCCCTCATAGTGGGTTTTGCGGGGTGTCATCGACGGTAGTTAGGGGGTCTAGGTGGACCTTGTATTATTTTGAATCACCTATTTCGTAGGTAGGACCTCATAGTAACAAACGGGGTGCTATGTAGATTAGGCTACAGGGTCTACGTAGTTTTCGAAAACACTTGGGAGGTCGTCTGGGAGACGTGAGCCCCGCGAATGGATCAGCATTTATGTGAGGACCCGGCGACAAGAATCTCCGTGTTGTAAAGAAGCCCCAATTTTGTTGCCTCGAGAAGAACATGATTGGGCTTTGGAGCATACGTACCTTAATGCAAGCTTGCAGTATGCAGAAATAGGGATTATACCAACAGCTATACCATGGTTTTGGGGTACTTAAGGTATTGTCCTGCACGAGTGGATAAAAAGGCTCATAGCAATGCCGGTGGAAACTTCCTCTCCTTTTGTGGTCCGGGCCTACTTTGATTTCAAGCTGAATCCCCATAAGGCTTGGCCTAAACTCTAGACTTAACCGCCGCAAGTCCAACGAAAATGTGGTTTTTGGACAAGGACAGAATCCCGGACCAACCCCGGGACAAATCCCGGAAAAATATCGGACCAAACAGAACCACCCCACATACAGCCCGATAACGAACATAAGCCTTAACCCTAAAGCTTGTCCCAGATAGTGGACAGAGCTCCGGAACAGCTTCTAAGGGTTGGCTGGGTGTCCCTACAAATTTAGGACCTAGAGTAATCCCTTATTCCCTTTTTGCTAGGGTTCAGGTTCCCTCTGCCCCTTTAAACCAAAAAGGGCACCCTTTTTATTCCTAGGTTACTCTTGGGTCTAGTTTAGAGACTTATAAGTACCATAACCCCAATTAGGATCCCGTTTAGGGTACTCATAACTCTACTTATGAACTACTTACTCTTGGGTCTATAAATATAAAACCCGAAACACAAATCGAGAGGCGTGGCTGCGCCGACACCGAAACGATCTGTTGATGCTGGCGTGCAGGAATCGCCTTAGGGCTCAGATTAGAAGAGTTCTATTAGGGCTCTATAAGGGCTCCTTAAGAGTTCTATAAGGGCTCCTTAAGAGTTCTATAAGGGCTCCTTAAGAGTTTTATAAGGGCTCTTTTAAAGGTGCTCTTTAAAGTTTTTTCTTTTGAGGTTCTATCAGTGGTTTAGGGT